CTATACGACGAAAAGAGACCTCGACCACACAATGTTGGTCTTCATATCTTCACATACATACATACATACATATCTTCACATATCTTCATATCTTCACACACAAAAGGCCACACTATCTTGGTCTTCATACCTTTGATGGCAAGGATAGTTGAATTAGACTCCTATTTTCACTTAGCCAGAGTAAAAGAAACATTAAGTTTACAATGTAATCAGAATAGAATAGGAGATTACATTTTTGGGTGTTATGGTTAATAAGGAAAATGGTAAGTTGGGCAGAAATGTTTATAGGAAGACAGCATATGTTGGTTATGCTCTTAATTTTCTTTCTAATGGAACTAAGGTTGGAGTTTTAAAATCTATGATTACTAGGGAAAAAAGACTTGAGGATGAAAATCATCCGAGAGAAGAGTTAAGAAGACTGAACATTTATTCCTGGAAAAAATTATAATTTAGGCTTAATCGATAATAATATATCATTAATGAGGAATAGATTTTAGACGAAGACTGTTGAGTCAGATATAGGCACGTTGAAACCAGTGTACATGTCCCAATCTTGCTATCTTGCCATCATGCCTTCTAAGAATAAAACGAAATAGTAAGGAAGTCGGGGATAAAAAAAAGAATGCTTAAAAAAACTCTGGCAATTTCCTTGGTTATGCCTTCCTTTAGAGAAATATGACCTGTAATGGCCTATCCCTACACCTTTTCCATTCATTATTCAGTTTTATTACATCACGTATGTAGCCATGGCTCAGCAACCTTGCAGAGAGAAATCATGTGAGAGTATGACTAATCTGCACTCTTTATCTCCTGTCGAAAAATCAAAGCTTGCATTGCATCGCCTAATCAGAAGCTGACATGGAAAACTGCGTAAGGGTATATCAAGTTGCTAATATGCCGTTTAGGTTGGTCACGTTTTCTTCATTCTCTTTCTCCCTTTCACTGGACCCGAGTTTTATATTTCGCGCCGCCTTTTAATGACTGTCTTTCTATTGTCAGCCCACATACTGTATTCAACAGTTTCTAAATAGGACACTTAGTAGTACTATTTTTTCTTTTTCCTCTTCATTTCGGGGCATTCAAATTTAGAATGCATTTTATAATTAAGAGAGCCCAAGTCCTCTTTGGAACACTAAAGACTCCTTATCAAGATCCGACTGTTACAAGATTTTGTGCTCCTGCAGTTGACTTTATGTTGATGAGACCTGTTAGCTTATTCGCGGAAGATTAGCGGATCCGAAAAATGCTTGTAAGGACAGCTAGGTCGAGCGATAAGAAGTGGCTAAGCACAGGGCGGAAACTGTACATGAGATAGAATGGTCTCAGACACAGAGGTTTGTTGATTAGAGTATTTATGCTATGAAATTAATAAATTAGGGAGCAAGGTAAATGTGAGGAATGGTGGTATAAAGTTAAGTAAGAAATATTCATGCTTAATTGAAAGATTGAGGGAGAAAGGTGTCGATTCGCCGTTCAACAAAATGCTACTCACCTTATCAGCTGAGTGATGGTTCTAGTTAAATTTACATATCTTGAACAGTCATGTTAAGCACATCAATACAGACAGACGCATAATATAACGTAATCCACATCATTAGTTTACTTGGGCCAATACTCTTAATGTTCTCATTGACAAGTTATGACTGATAGTTTCGTAACCTGACTCATACGCTTGAAGGCATACATCTGATCAATTTATCCAGAATTACTTACTGACCTACACAACATCGGCCATTAAATCTTGATGGCCTGGAGTTGACGTTAGGCTGTTCTATAATACTTTGAGTTATAGCTGATATTGCATACAGACGCTAACAAACACACACATACTCGAGTGTAAAAGAACTAAACTATTCAATATCTAAATTTTTTAAGATGACAATTATAATGTAGGACAGAGCTAGTCAATCTTCTTGACTTAGCGTTAACGTGAGACTATTGTAAGAATGAGTCCCGGCTAAGAGGATGCTCGTCATATGACGAACGTAGGCTCAGCCCGTTTTCATCTGACTGTATCAAACTGAAAGTTGTATTAAAATTAAACGGCTGCAGTACAACGGGAATCTGTCGTCTTTCTGTGAGATTGACATATCAGTATCTTCACCATGCAATTTCATACAAAATTAAAGTAACCACAACAATAGACGGCAAAGAAATCAGCATGTTTGATATCATGATTAATGAATAAATTTAATCCCGATCTAATGCAAATCAGGCACTTGACACTAGATATATCCTTACATTTACGAATCATTAAACAGGATCTGCTTCAACATTGAATGACCAAGACACCTTCATATTTGCTTATGTTGATGGCCCTCAGGTCAAGAATATGTGAAATACATACCAAGACTATTGAGAGTTGAGCAGTGGGATTTCCCTATTCCCTTAGATGATTAGATAGAATAATCCTATCGTTGGCAAATAGTAGAAGTTGTTTAGTTGTAAGCTAGATATTAATTAGAAGCACTTACGGCTTAAATAAAAAGATTTTCTAGAATGAAATTGCGAATACCTCATTTATACTAGGGAATCTAGTAGAATGTAATCGAGAAGACACTAGGTAAACGCTGTTGATTTAGTACTATCTGGGTTAGTGAGATAAGTAGTTGGGATTTTCCTAATCTTAGGCGAGTTATTGAGTAAGTCAATAAACTAATTATTTAACTGAAAATTTTAATACTAGTCATACAAGCATGATATTTTATAAAGGAAACATGGAAAAATTCAAAACTATAATCCAATCTGGATTAAACGAAACGGAAAATAAACATTAAGATCCGTAATCACTCTAGCTCGAATACGGTCATAAGGAATGCGTTTATTTTTCCAAAATGCTAAGAGTAGACCTCACAATGCTATGGATCTGATTTGATTCCCACTGTGGATGTTGATGAAATACAAATGAGGCAAAAACTGTAGTCCTTGTGGGAGGCGAGGTTAGCTGAAATTTAATGGTATTGTGAGGTCCACTAGTATCACTGTAGGAAAATTCAATTATCAGATCCTAACTACAGCCCTTATTTAAGGTCTACATATTCATTATAATTATGTGAGATAAACAGGCCTACTCATTAAACTAATTTTTAATTATTTGTTGCATCTACTAGTGGTAAATTATATGTCTTAAATATAGTAAGCAGAATTTATCAAGCTCTAGAGAGTATTCAGGTAACTTTCATTGGTAAAAAGGGTGGGATTTATTAGACTAAAACGGCTTAGTAATAACTCTCTCACCCGGCATTCAAATATTCGTCAAGCTGATTTAAGAGTGAGTCAGAGTCAACTGGAGATATTTTACTCGGGTGAGAAAATCAAATCTCATTTCCCCAAGCTAATTTTTTCGACCAGATCAGAAGACCAAAATATTTTTATAAAATAAAAGCGTGTTTTAAACGTGACTGACACTTAGAAGAGTAAATATATCGAGTCCTGAGATCCCCCTTTAGGGAGGTCAGAAAGATGTTATAATTTTGAAAAATCAAAATCATGACTCCTCATTTAAAGGATCTTTGTATCACTTACAAATCATAATTTATTTATCTCTCAACTTGCAGTGGTATTTACCACAATTTTTTCTCTTTTATTTTCCAATTAGTACGTGCACTGAAGTTCCGAGTTACAAATAGCAATATTACAACGATATTTGTATTATAATAGCAAAAATAACTACCGTCAATATAAGCATGGGAAATTCATAGCTGGACCGTATATAGTGTCGATCCTACCAAAATGGTATCCAAAAATGGAGAACAAAACATCCCAGATACGATACCCTGAGCTCAAAACAAGAATTATTCATTTATACCACATAGGAGCTGAGTCACCCTAGGTCGTACAAGATGATGAATTTTCGCACGATAGGTGAACGCCTCACATTGTGCATAAGATGAAGACAGCTCTTATTCTAGACATAAGATAATACTAAATATTAAAATAACTAACGTAGTCGATTGTAATGGCAAAATACAAATATGCATTATTGGCAATAACAATAGAAATGCGATATGGGAAGGACCTGGCTGGCTTTGAAGTCTCGTCTAATCTGCGACCCACTGGTATTCGTATCTATGTAGCGTAGTGGTAGCCGATGGCTACATCTATTATTTACGACTAATGATGAAAATATAAAATGTTACATTCAAATACTTTCCTGCAATAATACGAAGCATCTAATACATCTATTGGTACGGAGCTACACAGAAAAGCTAGAGGATGTCAGAATAATACAACATAAAACGTATATTTCAATATTAATATGAAGGTAAAATCAAAAAATAATAAAATAACTAACCAGAAAGCATCACGCAATCAGTGCCATCCAAGACAGCATTAGCGACGTCACTAGACTCAGCTCGAGTAGGACGTGGCTTATTTGTCATTGACTCAAGCATTTGAGTGGCACAAATCACCGGCTTACCGAGGCGGTTGCAACGGCCTATCATCATTTTCTGTGCCAAAAAGACCTTTTCAGCAGGTATTTCAATTCCAAGATCACCACGGGCTACCATAATCCCGTCAGCCGTCTCTAGGATCTCGTCGAAGCTAGAGTGCCGAAAAAGTATGGGATAAGAACAGAGAGAAAAGCAAAAAA